TTTTTTTTTCAATTATTTGCTTGCTTTAAAACTCTGAATATTTGGCTTTTCACTGTACTAATTGTTCGTGCTGGCGGGGCTGTGAGTAACTTTTTCATTCCGTCCAGTTTTGAGCTCGACTCATCTACTTGATTTCGTATGGGTGTTCAAGCACGCCCCCGTTTTTTGCTTGAAGCTTTCCATGGTGTGAATACTGTTCATCAATTTATTTTGTCCATCTGTTGTTTTTCATTCTCTTTACGTAACAAATCCAGCTTTTTTTGACATGATTGGGCCTAGTGTTTGTGATTTGGCTGTAAAATAGCTATTGGGAATTGTCATTTTGATTACTTTTTTTTGTTTTTTTCTAACTTTCGGCGTGATTAGCTTTAATAATTCTAGGAATCAAATGAAATCAAAAGGAAAAAAGGAAATACTTAATAATTTTATTTGGTTTCATTTTGAAGAACTGTTTCTGGTATAATCCTGATGATGTTTTATAGATGTAAAACAGGTCAGTGAGCCGCTATTTCTAGTTCCGGATACGCCTAAACCAGAAACATCGGACGCGGAATCACAAACGGATGATCGGCTATTGGGATCGTTGGCAAAAGGGGACAGTGCAGGTACTGTATTTTTCGAATACGGTCCCATTCTAGTGTTATTACAGATCTCATGACTTCATTTCTGGTAGTTTTGAATATTAGGAAATAGGTTTATGTGCGGCTTATTTTCATAACTAATAGCATAAAGCGAAAGAGCACAAAACAAACTTTAAAATAATTAAGACATTAAATGTTTCGTACAAAAGATCTGCTATGAATTAGCTGTCTAAAAGCTAAGCAACCTCGTTATTCTGTTTTGCATTTTAGTTTTTTGCATTTTTCTTATTTTGGCATTCATTTAGCTCAAAAGAGCAATCCGGCTCTGAGTGGGCAAATTTTCGATTCATGAATGTAACTTCATTGCAGATGTTGCGAAATCTAGCGTGGATTCGAAATCATCAGCCATCAGCACCGAAGATATTCACAGGTTAACGGGAAAAATTGCAACACTGGAAAACGAAAAATTCGTCTTTGCAACGCAGCTAAAATTAGCAAGGTTTTTTTTTCATCGTTGTACTTTCTTCAGTATTTGCTTCGACTTGTGTTACTAAGCTTATTTTGCGCAAATTTGTGGCATGGTGTAGTTTGGCAGTAATGTCAAAGGCTCCAATATCCCTGTACTTGGAAATCGTAGTTTTTGGGATATCTGAAAATTATAATATTATATTATTTCTTGGTTTTTTAGAATTATTAGTATTGTTTTTTAGTTACAGAAATTTTTCAGTTTCCTTTTTTTCCGCTGGCATTTGTTCATATTGTATATTCATAGTCAAAACGATCTTTTTTTAAATAATTAATTGCGCTGGACGAAAACTCTGCAGAGTTGTGTGCTTCCACTCTTTGCTTTTACTAGCTGTGATTTTGTGCCAACTTTTTCCATAATTATCGTCACTGGAAGTTTCTCACTGAATGTTTAACCTTTTGGTGCTCTTAGCTTTCGTTACTGTTGCTTTTCCTTTTTTTACGCAACAAAAAAAAATTGGTTATGTCACAGATTTCATGTTATCTGAATAAAGTGACTTTTGCTTTTTTATTTTTCAGGAACAAGTTGGAAAATTTAGAACTACTTGAAGCGCAGAAGAAAATTTTGGAAGATCGTGTTGTAATTTTGAACGATATGAATGACTGTTTAGTGGTAAGGTTTTTCTTTTTTTTATTTTCTTTTTTTTTTCAGTGATATTTTGTTAAACTATATCACGAAGCCGCCGCATAACTTAATGAGCGAATACCGATATTTTTTCTTTTTATTTTTTAATCGAAATCATTAGATCACGGCTTAAACCGGAATTCTTGGGTTTTTGGGATCAGTGACCAAGTCATTTTGTTATTTTGCAGAGTGCTGCAGTTAGACCAGTAGCACATGCTCCTTAATTGTTTAATTAAAGTCATATTGGTTGATATGTATTTCTGTAAACTGTTATGTCGTATTTTGGTCATCGATGCTGCTCGACAGTTTACCCATCATGCTCAGTTTTGTGCTCACTGTATTCTTTCAGCTCGAAACAAGCATTACAATCGAATTCTTTTGTACCGGCCTTACTGAGATGAATTACCTGAAATTCCTCGAATACCAGTTAATTTATGCAGCCCGCAGTCTTTTTCCGCATCTGCATTTTACGGTCTGGTAGTCACTCCTTAGCGCGATTTGAAGCGATAAAATCAAAAGTTTACTTTTATCTGGACACTATAATATACTGTGGGTAGCACTGGTCGTGTCGCGCAGGCGTTGACCAGAGGGGAGAGGAATAGGGAGAGGGGAGGGGGGGAGGGGTCGTTCTTCGGTTGATGGATTATCTGGTGATGGATGGTGACAGAGCGGCCGTTTTTGTTGCTTCGTGGAAATTCCAGTCCGACAGTGGCATGTTTGTGGATAATGATGAAAAGGAAGGTTTTGAAATGGAGGTTTTGCCCCCCCCCCCTCTCCT